GTGTTATGTGTGTGGAGGTCACACATATTCTTTATTCTGTGAGATATTATCCTAAGTCAAATTTGTTTAGAATTTTTTAAAGTCCAGTTAATTCTTTCAAAATGATTTTTCCTTACCTATTGAGATAAATAAAAATTTTTGCCTTTCATTATCTCAATTTCCTGTATCATGTATTGACTAGGGTGTGATTATCACTTTTCGCTTGTCTAGATGTACCCAGCTTAGTAATGGTGAATGCTGTTTTCAGTAATCTCTGCACGTTTGTGATGTAGTAATTTATTGAGATTTTTGCACGCATGTTTGTGAAGACATTGTCTTATTTTGCTGTGGTAAAGTTTTGTGAGTAGGGTTATGATGGTCTCATAAAATCAGCTTCCTTAGTACACCTTTCCTCATGCTAAACCTTTGAGAACATACATGATTTTCCCTGATTCAAATATTGAACACTGCATCCATGCACACAAACATAGCAAATCATTCAGTAGATATATTATTATAGATTTTTAAACATTTTTAATACAATATGTGGAGTCCACAGAGTGCACGGCAATACCCAGGGTACAGGGGAATTGCTGGACCCATTTTGTTTTGCATGAGAAAAATGATGAAGCAGCAAAAATCATAGCATACTGGGGCTCCAAACCCAGTCAAACCAGCAAAAGTGGGGCTCATGGAAAAGCAGTAGAGAGGACAGGTCAAAGCCTTCCAGATTTCATGGGGAGGCCCGAGGTTCTGCAGATAACAACTAGTCCATCTGTATCCATGTCAGAGCATCTTACCCTACACTTACATTGAGGTTTAGGGTTAGGATTGTGGTGTATGACAGCCTGAGATAGTCAACAGCAAGGGAGGCTGAAACCCTTGTGCTCTTCTCAGCAGATGACATTCGGTCTGAAGTATGGCAGGCAAAGTATAAAGAAAAACTGTGCTCTGATGAGTTGTTCTGATTTCTCTCTCCTGCTCTGTAATGCATGGATCATAAAGGTTTCTTGCTTTTGTCAATGACCCATGATCAAAACTCCAACCTCTGAGATCTGACAGACAAGAGAACAGATCCCATGTCTGGTTCAGATGAACAAAGGGACAGATTGCATCCCTGGGTTGTACCTGGAGTGCTGAAGTTGTCTACCCGGGATCCTTGCATTTAAACTGAGGCTGATCCTGTCGTCCAGAGGAGGCATCTTTGTAACTACAGCTGCTGGATGTTATCTGCTTGTTAAAACAGTGAATAGGGCCACAGCTGTACTCCCGTGATTTCAGACAATGTGCTATGGAAACAATTCCTGGCCTTGGAGGATGGCTGCCGAATACAAGGCAGGATCTCTCGCAGAAGACTCAGTGTGTGATGTCCCCCTTGAGCCGTGTGGGAACAGTCAGTTGGTTTCATTGCCTTATCAGGAAAGCGGGCCCTGTTCACCATTCCAAGGAGTAAAGCTAAGAATATAAAGGCACTGAGGTAGATCTGCAGACCTGTCATATGCATTTTGAGAGAGAGTCTCAGTGAATTGCATGGGCTGCTTCCTTTTTGGTTTCTTCCTGCGTCACCAGG